ATTGGAATTCCATCTATATGGTGATTCCATATAAATATATAACCAATAAGAACGCCATAGGCCCATCCTAATAACAGATGGAACTTATTAAATATTCCAAGAACAATATTATAATATTCCGGCTATTTTTTTAAACAAACAAATTGAGTTTGGATAGTAATGGATGGAGATGTTGCATTTTCGATTCTTAACCCGAGATTTATTCCTGATTGATTATGGGAAATTTATGCTTTTGGCTATAAACAAACCAATAATAAAAATAATTTTTTTTTGTTAAAATTTATTATCTATTTTATAACAAAATTTAATATCTCATTCTGTTATTTATATGTCCCATTTTGTAAATAAAATTTAGAAGTAATTTAGAGTTGAACAACCTAAATACAGTCGATTCAATTGAACTCGCCTCGGTAGGAGTAATGTAGAACTATTTTTAGAAGTGTACATTGAAAGTTATTTTAATCAACTAAGCAAGCGTTTGTTTTAATTATTGTGAAGACGATGCATATTAAAAAAAAATGTATGAATTTTACTTACTGCATAAATTATAAGAAAATCTAGAATTTTAATTGATACAAAAATTAATCAAAAGAGGAAAAAGTACGATTAGGAGTTTATGTTTTTTAATTTATTTGTATTGTACCTAGATATTTCAAGCAACCAGCAATTTGTCATTTGTCTTCTAAATGTTAAAGTAGACGAGACGACTTTTGTCGAGTCGACGGTCGACTCGACCTATCCTTGATATCAATGAAATGGGTTAAAAGAGATGACACTCAAAATGCACTCAACGCGGAGAATGATTTGACTTTTCTTCTATATATTTTAATGAAGTTTTTGGATACTTTTTTTATTTTTTAGTATACGATATAGGCGGAGCCGTAGAAAAAGTATAGTGTTTCAATTAATCAAATATTTTTTTTAATCTTGCAAACCTTACCAATTATTCCTTTTTTACATGTTTTTCTATAGTTAATCCAGTACAACAAGGGTAGTTCGCTAAACAGTTTTTGTGAGACATCCAGTATTTATTATTGATAGAAGTTCATCGAGTTGCGCATAAATATTCCAATAAATCGAGCGCGACAACAGGAATAGAGACTTTCGGTACAAATAAATTTTCACGAATTTTTTTGCTTGTTTACATTCATGTTTGCGGGACTGAAATCTCCCCCAATGGAGTTTATTTTGTTCGATGTAAATATGGTGTTCTATTTGCAGTAGAACGATATCAAAATCACATCCACTCGGACATAATTCCATTTGACGTGGATCGAAGTATGGAAAACATCCATTTTTTTATATTTGATGATTTGAATTCAACAATCAATGTAAAGATAGATGTTTTAAAAAATAATATTTATAAACTATGTTAGAATGTGTCCTATTAGATTAAATTGGGCCATGTGGCCTCTCCCACCTCGACCTTTTCAGATCTATTGTGGATATCCTTGAATCGTTGTTTAGAGTACCTTATCTAATTTGGTCTTTTGTATTAGACTCTATAGACTGGGAAGTAGTTCTCCGGTATAGCTAGTTGCCCTTGGTTTTTCTTCTCCGTAAGGAATCTCAGTCTTGCTAGACCTTTGCAGTAGCACAATACGTGTACTGCTGTTTCCTCCTCTTTCTGTCAGAATCGGCACAAGGTCTCCTCTGACAGACCGATACTATACATATGTTTGTTAAGCCTACAATGCCCTGTTAATAGACCTACTAGTACTCTAGGATTTTTCCTATTAAGGCTTAGTAGATGCTCGGTGAGTTTAGGCGATGGTCCTTTTAAGAACTCTTTGGCCTGTCTCTGTCCTGGTGAGTTTTTCCACTACTCATGAAATTTTTTAAGCATCCACTGCTTGTGCATGTTCTGATAGTTGTTTTTGTTACACCACAGAAGGTTTCTGGGTCAATAAGAGCATTTGAGGCTACTTCTCGGGCTAGTACATCAGCCTCTTCATTGCCCTTATGTCCTCTGTAGCCTGGTACCCAGGCTAAGGTTAGTCTGTTTTGACTACCCAGCTCTGTTAGGACTTCCAAACAGTCCCACACGAGTTTTGAGTGTACCTGCATGGAACTGAGTGCCTTTAACGTCACTTGAGTGTCTGAGTATATGACAATGGTTTTTCCATTTACCTTCTCTCTTAATATCTCTTTTGCACAGTGATGTATTACTGCTATTTCTGACTGGAATACTGTCACATGTTTACCTAAGCTCAGTGAGATTCTTGTCTTTGGCTTGGTACTGTATATATCTACTCCTGAACCTCTTTATGGGTTTTGGAGCTGTCTGTATACCAGGTGAATTCTGCATGAATAGGAGGTCCTCCCGTCCACGCTCCCCTGTCTGGTATACTTACTTTATATTGCTTTTGAAACCTATACTTTGGAAGCAGTTCATCTGAAGGCATTGCCATTATTTAGTCTTTCTCCAACTCTATATAGCTCGCTGTAGTCGCGTCCATGCAAACTGCTTATGGGTGATGAACCTTTGTGCAGTCTGTATGTGACAGATCTGGCTTCGCATTGAATGAATATATGTAGTGGTGATAGGTTTAGCATGACTTCTATAGCTGCTGTTGATGTCGTTCTCATAGCTCCCATGGTACTCAGGCATGCTTGCCATTTGAATACCATTGAGCTGTCGAATGGCTCCAGCTTGCCGAGTCCTTGGCCACCATACCACCGACCCGTAGGTTATCATCGGCCTTATCACTCTGGTATATAACCATAGGGACATTTTCGGTTGTAGTCCTCAATTTTTTCTACACAACCTTCGACATAAGTTGAAGAATGTTGGGCTCTTTTGGGTGAGTTTCTGCAAGTGTTGATTCCATGTTACACTGTGGTCAAAGATGAAAAAACTTACAACCAAATGATCACGTACTAATCACAAAAAGGAAATATTCGATAATAAAAGATGTAAGGACGTTTAAAGGAGCATGTATAGATTTAGATGTACATGGTTACTATTACCTCAAAACAAAAAGTGAAAAAAGAGGTAAAAAAACTCCTTACAATGCATTACAAATGGGAAGTAAGTTAACTAAACAACGAAAAAGTAAAATATAAAAATGCAGAGATAGTAAAATCAATATTAAACAATAAACATGTGAAGAAAATGAAATAGAAGTAGGATGGAAATTCATTAGAGAAAGCATAGAATTAGCAGCAGAAGAAAATATTGGAATTGCAAAGAAAAGAATGGTACAATGAAAAATTTAGAGAAACAACAACAAAAAAAGGTACAAGCAAGAATTTAGTGGCTAAGAACGAATAAAATAGAAAATAAAATGAATTATGAAGAACTGAGAAAACAAACTAATAAGAAAAAGTAGAAGAGGATGGATGGACAAATAAAAATAATTGAACAAGAAGGAGGGACGAAAAATACAAAAGACTTTTAGAAGAAAATTAAAGAGCAGAACAAAATCTATGAAGGCAAAAACAAGGGAATAAAAAAATTAAAAAAGGTGAATTGATACTAAAAGATGAAGAATACAAGCAGGTGTGGATAGATTACTTTACAAATCTATCAATCGATCTGGAGATGGAGGAATATGAGGTGATAGAGGAAGATGAAATAGTAGAAAAGGACATAATAACTGATCCAACAAGAGAATATATAGAGAAGGTCATTGGGAAAAATGCAAAAAGATGGAATTAATATCGAATTCATTAAATATGGAGGCAAAGAATTAAGACTATTGCCGCTAATTCAGAAAATATCGAAAGAGGTAAAACTGCCGAAAGAGTGGGAAATAGGAAAGGTGATAATAATCTATAAAAAAAGGTGACAGACAAATATGTCAGAATAACACATCTTAATACTGCTTACAAAATACTTTCAGCAATAATACAAAGACTGTTAGCGCAAACGGTGATAGGACAGTACCAATAATGTGAATTCACACAGGGGACACTAACTATAGATGTATCAAGTAAATAATGGAAATGGCGTATGAACACAAAATATAATTAGAAATGCTATTTATTGGCATTAAACCATAAAATGAACCAAACTTCAGTGGGCCTTACAAAAATTAAGATTACTAATAAAGATAAGGCGGTTAATAACAATAACGGAAGAATTTACAATAAATGAAGGTGTAAAGCAGGAAAATTCGCCATATTATGTATGTAGAAACATATTAATTACAGATTTTTCTATTATTTTAACGATTTGGCATTGATGTGTAAAATAAGTATCGATGGTATGTAATCATTTTATAGTTTATTTGAAAATAAAAGATTGGAATTTTTTTATGACCTAGGAGATAAACCCCAATATAACATAAATCAATGACGGAGATTTTCTAAAACAAAATAAAATGTTTAGCATTATTTATTTCAAAATAAAATCTTTGGTTCTCCTCCTAAATTTTTTAAAAATGCCAATTGATTTCAATTCTTGTCTTAAATTTTCTAGTAATTTTAATCAACCAAAAAAAAAGGTAAGTATGTAATCAATTTAGGTAGCCCTCAACTTTCTTAGAAAGGATTAAAATTTTTAATCGGCAGAAAGTGTTATGCAGATTGTAAATTATTTTAGTTAAGATTTACATTTCCGTTTGTATAGTCCTGTGATTGTAGCACGTATAATTGTTAATTCTATAATAATAGGCAAAAAAAGCGATATTGATCAAGTGAATTTGTGCAATAAAAATGGCACAAATGTCTAATTATACTCCTATGAAATTAAAAAAGTGCATTTTATGAGAAAATATTTTTGGAAAGATTTTAACCTAACCTAATATTTAGGGTTCGTTCATTTTGTACATTTTATGATGTATTTTATTCAAGGTTTTTCGTGGTGGTTATACTAAAATCTAGTGAAAATTTAGGTACTTTTTTCTGCTTAGCACAATCCTGTATATAGACCTTTGCCATAAAAACTGTGCTATCATGAATTTTCAAATGAACTATAGTTTTGTATTTACTGTACACTTTTGTTATCTTTTTTTTTTGTTTCAAGTAAATTAGACTGTATAAATTAATTTTATTATATATTTTATAAAAATATTAATTATTAAATTGCTCATTACCCTTATTTACAACATAAGAATGAACACTGTTACGTTCCATTTTCTCGTTGCTTTTTTGGACCCCTACACCTGCGCAACTGGTGCAATTGGACCCTTGTCCCGAAAAGCGCAAATAATCAACGAAGGTGTTCCAACTATGCGATACTTTTTCTTCCAAGCCAATAAACTGTTTGCTCGTGTTGATCCTAAGACCGTAGAAACTCTGCAGTAGCTTTTCTTCGAAATCTTTAGTCGCTATTTTAATTTTTTCTTCTACTATCTTACTAAACTCTTCCAAATCTGTTGTGTCAGTATTTTTAGAACAAGCTACAGTATCATAGGTATTGAACGTACTTTCTTCAGTAGGACCTTCAGCAGCTAATTTTAAAGGCGTAAAATTTGATCGTCTTGGAGATGATCCAGAAGTTAAACTGAAATCGCCTGATGCCGAATAATTATCGCTATACTTTTTAGATTTTCCTGAACACGGAAAAGCGGATATATCAGTGTTAAATGGGAATGCGATTTTTTTAAAACTACTATTAGCAAGTGCTACTAAAGTTTTTAAAGGTGTTTTCATATTCCTCGAGTCATAACTTCTAAGCTGACCAGTCATAGTACTAATTGCCAACTCATTAGTCCCATTTAGGTAAGCTAAACTGGACAAGGCGCATTCTAGGTCACAGCAACAAGAGGTTTTGCAGGAGCGCAAATCGTAACTAATGAATTTTCCATCAATACCCACTGAAGAAATGTTACTGTCAAAAAATGTAATATCTGTTACTCTTGCTGTATGTTTTCTAGTAGTTAATAGATTATCTGTTGTGTCTGTATTCCAAAGGGAAAGTATACCATCTTTACTAGCTCCTGCTAATAGATGTGGTGTTATTTTACTGTAAGCAAGAGTAGACAGAGTTGGACTATTAGATACTAGAAAACTAGCACAAGGTTTATAGTTACTGTCGAATAAAAATATTTGTCCACTAACACAGCCAACAGCAAAACATTGGTCATCTGAAGAAAATTCTATATTTTGTATCGGACTTGGTAATTTTATATATTCCTGATGACGGCGAGTATGTTTTGTGTTATAAATTAAAATACCATCTTCCGTTCCGAATGCTACTAACTCTGGATTTGTATTTGAAAACGTACCCACAGATGCACATCCAATATAAGTACATTCAAATGCTTCAACTAATTGTTCAGCTTTTACAGGTACATTAAGAATAACAGGACACCCTTTGCTTTTTACTGCTACAAGCTCTGTACTGTTAGAGGACCAGGAAATACTTTTTATACTCATACAATCAACTGGCGTTTCGTATATTCCAAAGTAAGAAATATTGGGCCATTTGTAAAATCTTACATCTTTTGCACACGATGCAAGTGTCATGATTTTAACGACAATTTTTTTTTAAAGTATATTTTTTAAGAGCTATAATTCTTGTAGGCATTTGACAAACATAATAAATAAATGTGTCATTTAATATGTCATTTAAATCACATGATATTATTTGCCAACCAAATAAATTGGATTGGTTAATCTATTAGGCTTTCCAAAAAAATAACTGTCAGAGGGCGGGATGGTATATTTAAGGGGTTGCGACATACGATGTATTCTGTCTGTAATACGTGAAATTATGAATAATTGATTAAATATAAATATTTTATGGCGAACACAATAAAAATATATTTTTTTCATAAACTATCAGACTTGGCGACTACTATTTCGAATAAAAATAGCGTCCGCACAGGTAGGATTCCCCACTCGACCATTCATTGTTGGGTTCTTATTAGCAGTGCTGTTCCTAAAGTGACATTGGGAAAACAGTAACAAAGCCTACACAAAACACGAGGCCACATACTTTGATTTTCTTTTACTATACGGAGAATGGTCGCACTGCGCAGCTTTCTGAGTGCCTTTTAAAAGGAGATAGGAAACTCCGCCATTTTGAACCCTTATTACGTGTTGCCTACATCTTGGCGCAATATTTTTAATAGGTGCGTTTTATTCATCCGCTTCTGCTTCGGAATTGTCGGTTTTCTTGTTTTAATCTGACAGGTTAAAACGACTAAACCGACAATTCCGGAAGCAGAAGCGGATTATTAAAACGCACCTGATATTTTGCTTGCTGCTGTCAGTGTCAGTGAATATTATTTTTGAAGTCACAGTTTATTGCTAAAGAATCAGTTAGCTCACTCGGACCAGTTGAAAGTTCCAAAATAACATCCACTCCAGGGATACAAATTCAGGATACGCAGAAGACTGCTGTTTTATTATAGGCGGTTGTCATATATTGTATTATCCGAGTTGCACAGTGTATAAACTGAAACATTGAGATCAAAAGTGCCGACGCAGAGTGAGCAATCTGATTCCTTAGCTGTAAACTGTGTCACAGGGTTCAAAATGGCCGCGCCCTATGTTGGGCGTGTCGGACCTCTCTCTTGCCTCGTATAGTAAGTCCCTTATCTCTGATGTTATTATTAATAAGATCAATGATACATATATAGTTATATAGACTGCTCAAAGCAGGTCGTTTGCGAGGGGCCATATTGCCTGTCAAGTGTTTATTAATTTGAATGCGTTTAGCAAAAATGTGTTTTAAAACCAATTTTCCGCCTTTGAATATTTAAAAAAAAATAATAGCCTACATTTTTAATTCACATGTTTAATTTTAAAACCATGGATGATAAATCATATCATTGACCTTATCAAACCACCAAGCTCACAGTGTTGCCATAACATTACTTGTAACATCTTCAATTCATTGCGTGATATTGCAATACATTTCAATTAAGAAGTGCCAACCCTGTATAAAGTAATTAAACATCTTCAAAGCAAAAGTGTTCTCCGTTTTTCTTCCGCTACTTTATCATAGGACTATTGACCTACTCCAATTTATCGCTAACTTCATCAGTCGTTACAAAAGCTTCGAAGTGCTCGGGAAAATAATCAAGTGAAGGGCAACCTGAAGGGTTTTGAATCCACCCTTTTCATTTGAGTAGAAAGGTACGTACCCGGAAATTATACGGCTGGAGTTTTTTTCAGTAATAAGTAGTAGCGCTCGATATCTAAGGAGGCTGATATATTTAAGGTCATTTTTTTATTGAAGGATGTTCTTTAAGAAAAATGAAAAATTAAAGATTTCTAAGCCAGATTTTATTGTACTTAAATTATAATTTAAAAAGCGAAGGTAGGTTTTATTTAGTAATTTAAAGAATTAATAGAATGTAAAAGGACATCAAAAATATTTTAATTAGTACTGGTGAACGCTTTTTTAAGGATTGACGTATAGACAGATTGTTTTTTCATTCAGCCAGTCCCTTTTACAAAACCAATTGTTTAAACAACATCGGCAACAAAAAACAAAACTAATCTATTACAACGAACAAGAAAATGTAAACAGACAATGTTTTCAAAGGAAAATAAACAAGGACATTCGCTTCTCGTTATATACAAGACGCACTAGAAATAGGCCACGGTGTGGGTAGGGTAATAAAACAGTATATAATAGTATATATAAAGCAAATGTAACAAATCTACTAGATACAACTTATATAATATGATTTTGAACAATAAACATTTTCTTTTTAGCTGAAGTCAAAATTGACTATGTTAAAGGGAGCGGTTATATTTGAATTGCAAAGCTTTTTATAAAGGGTTTTTCAAAAAACATGGGCCACCGTTCGAGAGTAGATTCTTTACACAAAAATAAGACCCTTTTCATATTAACATAGGTCAAACTTTGAAGTCAGCGGCGTACTACTTTTTATTTTAAATTCCTTTATGGACCTGTCTGTAAGTCCGGTCATGAAAATTATATTCATTCGATTAACATATCAGAATAAAGCCTCCGGTTGGATGTTCTAATTGTCTTATGATATATCGATCTTTATAGTGTTTTTTTTTTAGATTTTGGGAAAAATATTATTTTTTTTTTAATTATGACAACCTGGCTTCTATACGAAACAGAATCGGACTTATAATGATATAAAAAAGTATTTTTTTATAAGAGTAATTTATTATCGAACGCTGGCCCACATTTTTTAAAACAACCTTTCATTTTACAGATTCTTATACTTGTACATTTAAAGAATATCTGACCTAAATCATCTTTACCTCCACGGTGTTCGCAGTTATTACTAGGTATAGGTATTATAGATTAGGTTAGCAAGGAGATGGACATTATTTGTTTATGTCCACTGCGACCTTCTCAGATTTATTGTTATTTATTTAAATTATGTCGTCTAGCTTGGTCTTTTTTAATAGACTTAGTAGCTTTGACAGTGGCTCCCGCATGTAGTTACATGCTTCTGGCTTTCCTTCACCTAGTGTTAGAAACCTCAATCTAGCAAGGACGTTACACTGGCACAGAACGTGGAATAATGTTTCCTTCTATTCTTCACGTAATCTGCATATTATTTCTTTTTGTGCTGGATTAATGATTTATGTGCATTCTTAGACGACATTCTCCATTAAGAAGACATACTGTTATCCTAACGATTTTTAGTTTTTGAGCCAGAAGGTCTTCCGTGAACTTAGCCGATGGTTCCTTAATAAATACTTTGGCCTCTCTCAATCCTGGATAGTTGTTCTACCATTCATGAGACTCGTTTTGCATCCACTGTTTGATGGATGCCTTGCACAATGTCTTAGCAACTCCACAGGTTTCGGAGCCTTTCATGGCCTTATCTGCTCCTTCTCGGGCTAGCTCGTCGACCTTTTCATTGTCACCGTATTCTTCGTAGCCTGTTACCCAGGCTAATGTCACTTTGTTTTGATTACTTAGCTATGTAAGTATTCTAGGCAGCCTTTTACCAGTCGTGGTAATATTTCTGGTAAGAAAATTGCCTTTAGAGCGGTTTGGCGGAGTATATGGCAATAGCTTTGCCTGTTACTTGCCGATTTATTTTTTTTGTACCTTGTTGTATGGCTATTAGTTCGACCTGGAACACTGTGTTCTCCTAGACTCAGCAAAATTATTGTTTTCGACTTGATTCTAAAGAGATCATCACCATCACCGGTATAAAATTTATACGATAAAGGTGTTGAGGATAAAATGCATGTCCGATGATTGTAGTGAGGAATATTTGACTGCTTATGCCAATATTCTTGGTATCTTGTTAGGTTAGTGAACGAATATTTACTCCATGAATGCGACCACACAAGTTTTTTAATTTGAACGATATGTGGATTACAATTATAAAGTCTCATAAGGTAGATATTGTGGTGGAATGTATTGCTAATATTAAGGAATGAAATACAGGTTTTGCAGAAAAACTGGATGGAACTGTTCCAAATGTGGGTGACGAAAGCTTGATGTACTTTTTCACAAATTTGCTGATATAGAAAAGCAAAGGTAAAAGGTAAAAAATTATACATCCCCTTTAATCCCCTCCTACAGCCACCTCATATTTTTTTTTAAATAGCAAGATGAGTCATATAGCACTTTATTAAAAAGGAAACTTTTAGAGAAATTTGGCAATATTAGTGCTCGTTTTGTTTCTTGTGACTTTAGCGCCCTCTATCGTAAATAAAAATTATTACGTATTTTAAAGTGTTACACTTAATTTGAAAATCAATTTAATTCGTATTTCAATGCACTACATAATACTAACATAAAAACTCTAAGCATGTTTTACGATTTTTTAGAATAACGCAAAAATAATTATTGTACAAGTGTTTCCACACTGTCTAAACTTTGAATCTGCCACTGCGTTTTGAAGTTAGGCGTGTCCAGTCAAAAGGTTGATAACGTTGATGTCTGGTCTGTTATTAAAGCAAACGAAGCCTATAAGGCTATAATTAAAACAAATTGATTTTATTACCCACTAAAATAAAGCAGAATCATATTATTTAAAATATTAACATACTTACGTTCATGTATAATGTCTAGACCACATTTTATCTTGCTAGCTCTTACCTGAAACGAAAGAAAATAGAAATAAAAAATAGAGTTGAATTAAGAAAAACTTTTGAAATCGTTTTTAATGCTGTTGTAATAAAAAAATATCAAAAAATACCGTCGATTAATGTTTTAACATCTAAGGGCCGATTGCACCGTTGTGTTAAATGAAGTTTAAATTATTATACGAAGATTTAATTTGAGAACGAGCCTGAAACGGCGTATGGCCTGAACTAGTACATCAAATTGATGTCTAGCGGTGTACGATCATCTTTTTTTCAAGTCAAGTATTTCTCCTAAATGATAAGAGATAATAAATTTTTCAAAACTTTTATTAATGATCAAAATTAAATTTAAAAAACTACGGACGCCCTACACAAGTTTCGATTCTATACCTTCATTGTTTTACATATTCTATTTATTAATAAAAGTATCTTTAGTATTTATATTAATTTACGATTCTCATTTTAAATCTAGGGATTTTGGGAAATTTCCCTTTGGAAATGTCAGCTGTCATGTCATTGTCCAAGATTAGCGGTTCACGCTATTTGTTGTTATTGCTTTTCATTTTTGCAACATTCACCATAACTAACATTTATTGTATGAT